TGCTTTTGAGAACTGAAGGGCAAGCAAGCAGTAAAGATGAAACTGCCACCAATGCCCTCCAACCCCTGTATCCCAAAATGTCACGGAGCAGGCAAGAGCCAAGTTGACAGCTTCTCCCCAGGTAAGATTTCCCAGTGGCAGCTCCCTTGTGCCCTTTGTGCCAGGCCTGCATCTATGAAGCAACTTCTCTCAGGAAATATTTGCAGTTTAGTTTGCACTCCTTAAACCTTACTGTTGCGATGGCAGCTTTGCTTCAGTCATTAGCAAAACTTGGCGTGGTGTCCACACCTTCAAACGCATTTGTGCTGTGAAGGAAAGTGGTATGCTGATTCTAGAGGGTTTCTCCTCTCCCAAGCAAGTACTAGTTGCTGATTGCTTTCTGCCCCGACTGTGAGCGGTCCCATGGTGGTGTCCTCTCGACACAGTGGATGCTGGCATGGCTTTGCTCCTTTCTTTCACCTTGTGATCTCTGCTTCTTGATGTTGGCTTCTCTGACTGGGGCACTGGGTTTGTCTGCTCTCGAAACAGATGGAAATAAGTTAAAGGGAGCCCTGTCTTCCCCTTCTGCTGTTTATTTTCCAGTCAAGGTTGTAGTTTGAATGTTTGTTTTCAGTGACAGCTCCAGCATGTGTTGGCCTCCAGTTCTGTCTCATCCCTGCCTGACCACTCTGCACAAATGTTTGTGCTGGCGTGAAAGCAGGGATAGGAACACATGTTTGGATGTAGGGAGAGGACAGGATTGCTTCCTTCGGCCGCAGCGCCAGCTTGACATTGGCTAAAGGTCTCCTGTCAAAACGGCAGCCTGTGTGTGCCCAGATAAATTGGCATGTCCGACAGCCCGCGCCTGAGAGGGGCTGCTAGGGAGGGGAATGCCTGGAAATGAGAAGGCTGGCAGAGGGCAGGAGTGAAGAGCTGGCCTCTGTCAGGGGGCTGCTGGCAGTACTGGGGGAAGCTGGTGGACTGGGGTGGCTCTGGCAGCCTGGCAGAGAGAGAGCAGTACAAGAAGGAGAGTGCTGAGCTGTGGGGACCCCCAGGGTCAGAGTGCAGGCAGAGCAGTGGCATCTGGGGGTAGAGGTGTCAATCCCAGCCATAGGGCAGTGTGGTGGCAATAAATGCGATGAGTGTGGTCAGAGGTGTGGGTAACCTTAACCTGCCCCTTCTCCCATGATGATTTCTGGCTTGTGGAGTTGTTGGGTCCCTGTATCTCCATCCAAGCTTGCTGGCAGCAGATGCGGCATGTGATGAGACTGTGTGCTCCCCCCCATGCCCCAGACTGGCCATGATTCTCTAGTAAGCACTTTTTCTTCAGGTGATGAGGCAAGAACCAAAGGTTAAGAGTCCAGCCCCATGCCCCAGGCTGATCCGGAGTGCAGCAGTTCTGTGGTATGCCATCTTGGAGAAACCTCACCATCTGGGTGGTGTGTGGCAAGGCAAGGGAGCAGAATAGCACCATTTTGCCAGTGGCTGAGCCAGTGGGGACCAGATACATCCAAAGCTGGCTAGGTTTGCATTGTGGTACCCACAATCTGGCTGCTCTGTTGCTCTTTGGAGATGGATTTTGGGAGCAGGGGAGAGGCTGCGCTGAGGAGGCTCCTGGTCTATCTACGTGTGGCAGCGTGAGCTCTGGGCTGTTTGCACTGCTTCTCTGCCTAGCACAGAGGCAATTCCCTGTGCTGCGGTGTGCGTGTCGCTCTGACACTAATTTGCTTCATCACTTTAATAAATGTAGAAGAGACGTCCTGGTGTGCGAGTAATGGGGCATTAATCCATGCCTAGCTGTGTTAACAGCACTCTAGGAAGGAATTAACGCCACATAATTCATCACCCGTGCAGCTCTTGCTCTCTTAATTGCGGGATGTTTGATTGAGGACCCCCCTTTTGTGAGGGCTGCTCAGCCTCTTCGGCTTTGAGGTGGGTCTCTGGAAGCTCGTTTCCTCTGCCCACTCACTACCAGTTTCCTCCTGGCTCCTCTGCTGCTCGTGCCATGCTGGCTTCCAGTTCCAGCAGTGCTGTTGACTGGCTGGTTGTGAAGTTTGGCTGTACAAAGACTTTCTTGAGGCATCAGCATCCTTTTGGTGCTGCTGGTTTGTTTACTGCCCCAGTGCAGGTGCTAATGGGAGGTTTCCTGGGAAGATGCAGGCACTGCTCCCTGACCCTTCTCCCGTAGGATCCTTGGAGCTACACCTCTCCTTGGCTGCAGAAGCTTTGCTTGCTTGCTTTTGTTTGCCTTTTTGCACTCCCGAGGGCACCGTGTTCCTGGGGAGATATACTTAGGTCTTTACTTAATCTCTTTACTTTTTAGGTTAAATGTGTAATGTTGTTCTGGATTTGTTTTTTAAATATCCTGCAAATTTACCTGCATTCTCCTCCCAGCCTGTGTTTTTCCTCCTCTCAGACTGCAGGACTGCAGCAGCTGTTTTCCTGTCCTGTGAGGGACTGTGGTCCAGCTCTCCCCGGGAGCTCCCTGGCCAGGGCGCTGGAGGCTTCATCATTCACTAACTTTTAAGGGACTCGGGGAGTTCTGTAGATTACACCAAAGTGCTCAGATAGAGTTTGCAGTGACTTAGGGTTTGTTTTGCAAATGGTCGTTTGCTGGAGCTCTGTTTAAACAAACAAAGCTCAAATAAGCTTTCCACTTCAGTGCATTAAAATCCCTTAATGCATTAAAATCCCCTAGCCATGGACATTCAGGCCTCTGCTCTGCCAGGTGCTGTATAAACAGTTATCAAGTGCTGGTGTATGCTGTAAAATCATCACATCGTTCGCTTCCCCTGGGTAGCTTTTGTTAGGGGAGATGATGCTAGTCCTGGCATTTGCTGGCCGTACAGCCAGTACCAAGGAAATCTGTAACTTTGCCCGGTTTTAAACCCAGGAAGATTATTTTTACCCTTTCCTGCTGTGCAGCTGCAGCAGGAGCATCTGTTCCCTGGTGGGAAGCAGCAGCAGTTTTCCAGTTGGGTTGGACATCTGGGTTGGGCTCTGCAGTTTCTGGGCAGCTGGAGAGCTGAAGCCAAAAGAAGGGAAAAAGGGAGGAGAGAGCTAAACCCAGCTGTACCAGGTTCCTCTCAGTGCAGTAGCATCTCCTCCCATGCCTGTCACCATACTTGTGTCAGCAGGTAAGAAACAGCCCTGTGATACATGTGTGTGTCCATCTGTTTTGGCTACCTGTCAGTGGTGAATGTTAGCCTTGCTATCAGACCCTGCCTTGCCCCTTAGGAGGGGTGCCTGGCCTCCAGGGTGCCCCTCTGCAGGGAAAGTTGCAGCAGGGGCAACAAGGCAGGAGTCTGCCAGAGCTTGGAGCAGGGTATCAGGACCATGTGGTGAATGTATTTTGTCAGAGCTGCTGCTTCAAAACCCACAAATATCCTGTTGAGGGTGTAGGTGTTGTTGACTTTCAATGGTTCAGGGCTTGTTTATGCCAGGGTTACAGGCTTTCAGCAACTGGTCTCCCTATGTTTTTATGTTTTGGTCTTATTCTGGTTAAAATGATAGAGAATTAGATTAACCTGAACCAAATTACTCATGTGGACATGCATATGGAAGTACATGCAGCAAAAGGGTAAGTGATTTTCACTCAGGAAGTGCAGACTTAGCTCATCTGGAGATTTTTAAGCTCTGCTTCCACGGATTAGTCAAGATCGTGTAAACTGTCTGAAGAGAGGTCATGGAAGGGATGGAAGGTATAACTGTAGTGAGTGAGGTTCTGCGCATTGTTTTGGGAAGGAGCCCCTTTCCATGTGCTGGTCTCTCATGGCTTTGGCTGAATGTGGGACTCTAGAAAAAGCAGATAGAGTCTTGCGTTGCCCAAGCATGGGACTGCAAATTCTTTCATGCTGCACTGCCCTCGGCACTTGCTGTAACCAGGAGGAGCAGATCAGTGCTTAACCTTACCCCCTCTCGCTACCTGTTTGCACCATCACCATCTCTTTACACTTTCGGGGACCTTTTATTCACAGGAATGCCTCTGGCCCTCCGGTTGTATCTTCAGAGCAGAAGTGTCAGCCTGAAAGTCACCTTGTTGGATGTGAGATTCTGTGTGGCTTAGCCAATCTGTAGTTAAAGGGCAAATATCATTCCAGAGGCAAAGGGCAAAGATATCTCCTCTTCTGGCTCACCACCCAGGTGGCAGCTGGAAAGGAAGAAAGAGGAGAGTGGCCGAGTGCTGCTGAGATGCCTGATGAAAGCACAGGGCACCTGATTCCCAGGTTGGAGATGAGGAGGAGATAAGGACACCTCTAGAAAGCTGAAGGTTGTGGCTGCTTCTGGAATTTTCTCCAGTGTCCAGGTTTCTTTGTGTGGCACTTCTACCAGCTCTCGTTAAACAGTAGCAATTAAGAGTCTTGAAGAGAACCGTTTCCTGTAGACTTGGAGCTTCAGTGCTGTGCTGAGCTGAAAGGAGTGGTCCAAAGGGCAAAGTTGCATCACTGGCGTGGAGAGACACCACTTAAGACAATGTTGGCACAAGACTGAGCACAGGCTATCTGTTTGGGCTGGGAAATAGAGGAAGGAATGTAACCGCTGGAGGAGCAGGTTTTTAAAGACTGAAGAACAGTACATATGTGTTGGAGGGAAGTGCTGAATGGGTCTCACGATGGCACGTGGTTGTCTTGGGGTGGCTGGGTGGACCTGCAGCGGGCTGGAGGTCCGTGTGGTGCTGTGTGAAATGCTCCCTGGAATTCGAGGGAGCTGTGATGGGTACTGGTGTCCTGGCTGCTGGGCAGAGCTCATGCACTGCCAGGCTACTGCCTTCCTCACGTGCTGCTGGAGCCTGACAGCTCTGGCAGCTCTTCCCTCCACATGTGCTTCTGTATTTATATACACAGACACACACACATTTATACGGCTCCCTCTGGAGTTCAGTCTCCTCTGAAGAGACCAGGAGCTTCCATAAGTCACTTGTTCCTCAGCTGGCCTCACCCTACAGCCTGGCCAGTAGGACCTGAGCTTCAGGAAGAATGCAAATGCCTCAACTTTGTCTCCTTGGTGTCTTTCTCTCCCAGGAGAAACTGAAGTGAAAAAGACGTGACTGAAAAAGAAATCAAGGAACGATTTGAAGAAACAGATTCATTTCCTAACAAATCAAGTTTGAATTAAATGGCTGATAAACAAATCAGGTAACGTTTCTAAAAAATTTTTGAGTTGTTGGTTGTGCTTTAGATTTTTCTGTTAAAGATTTTAAACCTTAATCTCTTTTGTGATACAGAGATCACCTGATCATCTTCTTTGGCCTTAAACAGTTCCGATTCCTGATCTGCTCCTTTCTTACTTGTTTTCAACATTCTTTTATTTTCTGTCTTTGCCATGCTGACACACTTCTGCTTTCTTCAGGTCTTTTTTCCTCACTGCCTTTTTCTTTCTGCCCTCTGCTTTTTACCCTGCATGACTTGGTTTCTACCTCTTTCAAAGGTCAGCTTGACCTGTTGATTTCAGCTTGCTGACAGCAAAGCCACTTCCTTGACCAGCCAAGGATGCAGTGCTTGTCTTTAGAAAGTCCACACAGATGCAGTCTTGTGCCCTTCTTCTAAAGCCAGTCAATGCTTGAGTGATTGCAGGAACATGAAGTACCAACAATAATTAATGACATTTAAGTGCACAGCAGGAACTTAAGAGCATTGGTCCTGGCATATGCAAAGGCTGGATTTGAGTCCTCCCTGAAAATGAATCTGGATCTGGAAAGATACAGTTGTACCCTGAGCTTCCTAAGAGCTGTGTTGGATAGTTCTGCACAGTACTGCATGTGGGTTTAACTTTCTGCTGCTTGTGAAGTTGCCGCAGATAAACGACTCCAACGATGCTGTGGGATTCCTGTGGGGTCTTGGTCCTCTTCTAACATCTGCTTCTCCAGTTTACCAGCTCAGGACAGGAGGGGTCAGTGAGTGAATAAAACCTGGTGACAGGAGGCCAGGACTTGGCAATGCCTGAATGCTACAGAAAGAGGGCTGCCCCTTAGCGTTTGCCATGATTAGGATATCTTCCTGCATGCCTGCCCTTTGCTAATGAAAACAGCCCAGAGCTGTGCTGATAACAAGACACCATTGTGGAGTGTTTATGTGTCTAGATTTGCCCGTCATCAGTTACCCAATTTGGAGAGCACTTAGCACTCTTCTCTTACACCCGTCACTGAGATTTACCTCCCTGGAGGCTGATGGGTGTATGTCCCTGATAACCGCAGCAGAGCAAAAGGACCAGATGTCTGTGGCCATGTGAAGCTTGGTATTTTGAAAGAAGGCAAGGTGTGCCCTTCAAGATCTCCCCCAGCCCCTCTGATGTGCTCTTGGCATTGTGAACAGGAGCTTGCTGGCTACAGGGACTAGTTAAAAGGCCTGAGGAGAAGCACTAGGAGAACTAGGATGCCTTTCTATTCCTTCTTATGTTAGCCTGAGCAAATGGCTTTATGCTAGGCTGTGTTGTCCCTGTTTCACTAAGCCCTGTGCACTTAGGTAGTGAGAGGCAGTAGCTGTGCAGAAGCTAAATAGGACACAGAGACCAGGCACTGGGGATTCCCATCCCACGAGAGAGCAGAGAGCACCAAGGTGAAAAGTGTGTTGGCTTAGTCTTGCGAGAGAAAAAGCTGTTGATTCGGGTGCAATGCCCTGTGTCTCAGGTGCTTTTCTGTGCCCCAAATCCCTCACCTCTCCCACTTAGCTCATCTCTCCCATCTATGTGACCACAAGTCGTCAGCAGTCACAGGCAGCCAAGCCAAGGAGATCTGTTTAAACTTGGAGGATCTACTGCACCCCTCTTCCCTTGCAGCATGCATCTGTCATCCCTCAGCCAAGCGAGATTGATACCAAAAGAGTAAAATCGACAGCAGAGGTTTCTATCCCTGCGGCACTGCACATGGAACTTGATCTCAGCATCTCACCAGATACTGCTGCACAGTCCATCTGCACTAGTCTCCCTCCACAGTGCACATGGGGGAACCTGGATGGTTGGATTTAGGCGTGATGGGGGTGTTGAGCAAGGGTTTCTCACCCACGAAGAGAGTGAGAAGCTCTCTGCAGCCCATGTTGCCCAAATTTTTGGCTTGCCCAGGCACATCAAACAATTCCCCTTTATGGCTGGGGTCTGTGCTGAAATTGGGGAATCTTTTGCGCTTATAGTGCCAGCAGGCAAGATGTTTGCCACGTATATGTGTCTCACTCCACCTGATATAAACCCTGTGATGATTTCACTGTTGGAACAGTTGAGAGGCAAGTGTCTGCCTGCCCTGGGCATTTCAGGGACACTTAGAGAAGTGATGGCAGTGCTGAGGCTGGAAAGGGATACTGGTTGTGCATTGCAGTCTGTGACTTGCCAGCAGTGACAGGAGCTGTATTTGGGGAGGCTGATGTGATCCTGTTTTGAGACACCTTCCTTCCCAGTGGTGCCTCCATCTGAACACTCTGGTCTCTAACTTCCTCTTCCAGTGTGACTGTGGGTTAAATAAGGAGAGCACCAGTGAGTGACGCTTACTCTTTGAAGTTTGCCCATGTCCTGAGAACAAGTTGAGCGTAGGAGTTTGCAGGCAAATCACTTCCCTTCCCAGACTGTGGTGCAAAGATCCCCGAGGCAAGAGAATCTTGAGCTGGTGAGATCTTGCAGTCTGGCCCTGTGCTGAGCTCATGCACTGATTTTAGCCTGCCTTCCTAATATGCTGTGCTTGATTTAATCTTGGTCAGCACTGTCTTGTTTGGGGATATGGACTGAGCTCAGGTCTTTCTGCCTATCCTTGGCACCTCTTCTTCCAGCTGTGCCAGCCAGTGTGTGTGTTGCAGAGGAAGGAGCTCTGGCTGCAAGAGAGTGGAGGCTGAAAGGAGTTTCCTGGAGTGCCAAGGTCATGCTTAGCATTTGTTTTCCACCCCTCTTTTGTCTGCTTCCCCCAGGGAGACCTCAAGTTGAAACCCTGGGTATCTATATCCTGCCTTTCTCTCCAGCTTGGAGCTGAGAGGCAGCTAGTTCAGCCTGGCTGCTTACCAATCCTCTCTGCAATTGCCCTTCGATGCAGAGTGCTCCACAACGCCACTGCGGGGGAAACATGTTTGCAGAGCTTCACCCTGCCGCGCCATGGCCAGCCTCACCACTGCTGCTTCCAGTGGGAAATGCTGCATGTGCCCCCATCCAGAGTGTCATGTCCCTGTCCTGAAAGGCAGCGTGCTCGTTGCCCCTGTGGGAAGGCTCAGCTCACCGGCCCAGCCAGTGCAGTCTGGGACTGCTGTCAGCTGTCAGTTTAATGTCCAACACATCCTGTGTTCAGGGAGCCATATCCTGCACTTTATTGGATGGAGCCGACTCAAACAGCTTTCCTTTGTGTGTAGTGGTTTATCGAGCATATAAGTGCTGGACACTTTTTTTTTTGGTAATTGAATTTGCTGGGATCCCATGTTTAGCTGCTCTGACTTTCACTAAGCACCACTTGCAAGAACTCCCTGTGGGAACACAACAGGCAAGCAGAAGCCCCGCGTTTTGAAAGCGCATGCAGCCAGCCAGGTTTTGATTTCCTCGAGAGGTATGAGCTCACGTCTCTGCATCTGGGGCTGTGCAGGCTGCCAGTCCGGTGGTTTCACCGGCCTGTTGGTGTGTGTGTGTGTTCCCCTCGCCCCAGGCAGTGGGTCTGGAAACAGTTTCCTGGAGCTGCAGCCGTCTGCTCCTTGGCTGCCAGCTGGGCGCTTCTGCTGGGCTCGTTCCCACATGACGGTAGTAGCTGATGTGTCACGAACCTCTCATTAGATGTGTATCTGATTGCGGTGCTGAGTAGCATTTGCCAGTAAACCTGCTGGCTCGGATGCCATCAGGCCCTAACTGAAGTCTCTCCACATGGTAGATGGTCCAGCACTCTGTCTTTTCACCTCTAGGGAGAACAGAAACCCTTGGGTCCTGAGGGAGAGGGTTTTCCCTTGCTCCTAGCTTTAGCTGTTTGGCTCCATTTCGCTTATCAGTGGTTCATCCTGATGCTGTGTGCTGCTTTCCCCTCCTCCCTTGTATGTCCAGCAAGGGCCAAACTTTGCCATGAGGCAGAGCTCCCTTCCCACTGCGGGGGGACAGTCTTGTCATACAGTGATGTGTTAACTCTGGTTGTGCAAAAGAGCCCCATTCTTTTCTCTTTCCCTCCCCTGACGTTATCCCAGTGCTAAGACATCTGTTTCTCTGCATCTCATCCCCTTACAGTTTACCTGCTAAGCTGATCAATGGAGGGATAGCTGGGCTCATCGGGGTCACCTGTGTATTTCCCATTGACCTAGCAAAAACTCGTCTGCAGAACCAGCAGAATGGCCAGCGGATGTACACCAGCATGTGAGTACCCCCCGCACAGGCAGCACACCCCGGGGCTTCTGGCAGGGAGTCCTCCCACTTTGTTAACCTCTTTCAGGTGAGTTCAGCATTTCTAGGAGCTGGGCTGTGCCCAGGAAAGCCAGGGGACAGTCTTGAACCAAGCTGTGCTAGAGCAAATAAAGCAGCTGTTGAGGCTGCTGAGCCCAGCAGGCGAGATCTCTGCAGGGAGCACATTGGTTTGGGTCCCTCGCTGCTGTCAGGGCTCAGGACCAAAGCAGAAGGAGTCCTGTGTGATTCTCTGCTCGGCCACAGTCAGGTGCATGAGGGAATTTCTGCCTCTCTGCTGTTTCCCTGACTCTTATATCAGAGGTCCTTCCTTCTCTGTGTCTAAAGAGGTGGCAGTCACCCATTCCCAGCCTAGAGCACTGCCTTTGTGGGATCAACCTGTGACCACACTCAGCACAAGACGCTTTATCCTAAGAACCAGAGTCAGGCCTTATCTTCTTTCCTGACCAGAGAACTTAAGGCAGAAGGAAAGTAGGAAGGAAACGCTCTGCACATTGATGGCTTTAGTTTCTGGGCCTCCTTGCTCTAGCTGATGACATGTAACTGTGCATGAGCTTAAGCTGTGGGCTCTGGCGTGCCACAGCAGACTGGCACTTCCCTTAACAGTTACAGTGCTCTCTGCTCCCTGCATTTGTGTGCCCAGGCATGCAGGCAGGATGCAGCCTCCTGTGTTGCCTTGCCTCTCCTTTTTGTTGTGTCCTGCTGCTGCTGTGGATTGCTCTCCTCCCTGAGGATCCCTTTTCCCCCTGACTGTGACAGTGACAGGAGTTTGGGCAGGGTGGAGGATTTGTAGGCTCCCCTTGGGAGTGCATGACAGGACACCTCATCTCTGGAGGGGGGCTCAGTAGGAGAGAGGGTTTTAACCTCCAGCAGTTGAGTGCAGATCTCCTCTGTAGCCAGGAGTTGTGGGATGAGGCACTGTTAAGGAATGCACAGGATTTACCGTGTATGTTTGAGTTGGCTCCTCCTAAGAGTCTGTGACAAAGCCTGGATGTGAATGAGTAATGCTGGAGGTGTTCCTTGGGCATTGGTAGGAGCTGTAGGGAAAGTGAGCTTGGGCTGCTGGGTCTAAGAGAAAGGGTCTTTTGGGGGCTGAGGGGCCAGCAAGGACAAGGAAGTAATGGGGATGACACATCTGTAGATAACATCAGGCTGTCCTGTGTCCTACCTAGGAACAAGGGAGAGGCACTAAGAGGATGCTGTTACCATGCATGGAGCATGTCTCCAGAGACACCCTTACGTTAGCTAGGGATTTGCAATGGCTTGTCTGAGCTGCCCAGTTACAGGGGCTTATTTTCAGGAAATACTATATGCCCATCAATACCAGATCTCAAAGGTGTCTGCTGGATGCCCAGGAAGGCAGCAAGTTCATTTAAAAGTTTGGCTGTCTTGGGCAGCATGCCTTGCTTCTGCTTAGCTCGAGACACCATTGGCATTGGGGGAACCTTTCTGTTGAAAGAGCTGAAGACACTTTGGAGCAGCCCTGAGGGCTGGAGAGAGCTGGCCTTTTGAGCTGTGCTGCCCAAAGTATGTTATATATAATTTTAGTTGGCTGTTGGCTCCCTTTTTTCAGGGAGAGAAAGGAGCTGGGCATGGTTTTGGCTCCATCTCGCTCTGCTGCAGCTCGAGGGGCTGGGAGTGATGTGTGTGCCTTACAGTGGGGCAGCGGGGCTGCGTGAGCGTGACGGGAGCAGCTCTTCCCCTACTCCTCTCTGCCACGTTGTTCAGAGCAGCAGCACTGGCTTGAGGAAAATGCCTTGCCTTGAGCATTGTGGTGGAAGATCTTGTTGTGGTGGGATAGGAGAGAAGTGGCCCAGGATTTCTGGGGCTTGTAGATGTGTTGGATAAGCAGATCTCAAGGTGCTGGAGCGAGTGAACAGGAGGACAACGAGGCTGGGGAAGGGCCTGGAGAATAAATTCTGTGAGGAGCCTTGAAGGAGCTGGGAGTGTTCAGTGTGAGGAGGAGAAGGCCGAGGGGAGACCTCATCCCTCTCTGCAGCTCCTGACAGGACATTTCAGAGAGGCTGGGGCTGGGCTCTGCTCACAGGGGATTAGTGACAGAACAAGGGGGAATGGCTTTAAACTGCAACAGGGGAGGGTCAGGCTGGGCATGAGGAAAAAATGTTTCACCAAAAGAGTGGTCAGGGAGTGGAATAGGCTGCCCAGGGAGGTGTGTTTAAGGGCCATTTGGATGAGCTGTGGGGGGATGTGGGGTAGGGGAGAACTTTGTAGAGTTAGGCTGAGGGTTGGACTTGATGATCCCAAGGGGCTTTTCCAACCTGAATGATTCTGTGATCCCAAGAATGAGATGGGTTGCAGGAGCTGGAGCGGTGTGTGTGAAGCATGAGATCCCAAAGGATGTGGGGAGTCCCAGCAGAAAGGGAGGGAAACTCATTGCTGCAACTGGCAGCAGTGCAGGATGGGCTCTTCAAGTAATTCGGGGTACCCTAGAACAGTCTTGACCTGAGCAGGGCCATAACACCCTCGAGGGAACTCTGTATTTCCTTCTCTCCCACCTCAACTTTACTACAGAGCGGAGATGAAGCCAAATCCTTGTGTTGCCAAATCTCATAGAAATGTCTTCTTGTTTTCATCAGCTATGCTTCCCTTATTACTGCTTAAGAGCTTTTTGTTTCTTAATTATGTATACATACATGCACATGCACCTCTCCCTTCCCCTCTGCCCACAGCAGTCCTGTCCCTTCCCAAAGACCCCAGAGCAACCTGTCCCTTCCCAAAGACCCCAGAGCAACCTTCAACCAGTGCCTGGGCTTCATGCAGCTGTGGTCCAGAGAGGGAAACTGCCAGGGGACCTGCGCTGCCTTCCTGAACTGCCCCTCGGGGTTTGTTAGGTGTTAGTCTGTGCCTTTGAGCCATTACAGCGCTCTGCACAGTTTTCCCGTTTGCAGTAAATGTAATTAAAACAAAGAAGATGACAGTTTTCCCAGTGGAGCAGACCTCTGTGCACCCTGTCACGCTCTCCCCAGGGTGAGAGCCTGAGGCTCGCTGCCTGCTGTAGGGCCCATTGTGTTAAAAATAAGTGCCTTAATCTGTGTGGGAGGTCACAGTTGACTGAGCGTTCGGGTCATCTAGCGTTTGTGTGGCTTGTGTCAAATTACATGGAGTAAGTCAAGCAAGTCAGCATTGGGGGTTTTGCTCCCCCCCCCCTTATTTCCCTTCCAGAGCTGGATTTAAAAGGAGGTGCATGGGGATCGGCTTGTTAGAGCATCTCATGCATGTTTGCCACAGGGGACCCTGGGTAAACAGCCCTCGCAGTGACACTTTTCCCTTTTGTGTTTCTAGAAAGCAGACAGCGCGTGCGGGGTGAGCCGGGGGTTTCAAAGCCCCTGTGAATTAGGGGCTGAAATTGGACTCAGGCCTGAACAATGGCACATTCAGCAGCTGACACGGTTCCCTTCTCGGCTCAGGGTTTTGCTGACAGATCGTAAATGAAAACCACTCCAAGAGATTTGTTTTGTTTTTCTCTGCTCTCGCCCACCTTTGAGCTGCCGTGATTTATCTCTCTCTCCATTTTGTTTGCAGGTCTGACTGCCTCATTAAAACAATTCGGTCGGAAGGCTACTTTGGCATGTACAGAGGTAAGCAAAGCTGACTCGGGCACGGTGCAGCTTTTGCGTTGGGAGCACTGGTGTGTAAGTGGGAGGAAAAGGCCATATTCTCTGGCTTATAAAGCAATAACCTAGCAGTATCCTAAGATGTTGAAAGATGCAGCTGTTTCTGAAAATAAACTCCCCCACACCAGGAGTCTGCTCAGCTCTCTTCCATTGAGTGCTTGAGCCCTCCTCATGGTTGTTTTGGTGTTAAACCTTACCATTTACTGACGTTCCATCTTTACTGGCAGTTTCAGTGAAGCTGCTGTTTCAGGACAGTGTGTTTCCTAGCTTGGGCAAACTAAGATTTGTCAGGGGGTAGTAGCAAACCTCTTGAAATCTCTTACTTTGTGGCTGATGATTGAATTTACATCAAAGCCCACCACCAACGTGGTCAGGCCTGCTGTCCCATCTGGTTGGTAGCTCATCTCCAAAACTAGCTGTATCTCGAGCATGCCTGAGTGCTTTGTTCAAGTATTAAGACAAGCTGTGATTTTAAAAAAAAAAAAAAAATTAAATTGAAAAAATAACTTGCCACCAGAAAAACTCCCTTGGGGTGGTAAGAAAATCAGAGTTTGGCTCATGGTAGAGCTTCAGCTGTTTGGTTGTTGTGTGCTAAGCTGCTAGAAATCTCCTGGCTCCTTGGCTTAGGCTATCTGTTGCAGCAGTGAGTTCCTCAGTTAACTTTATACCTTTTCTAATTTAAACACAAAATCCTTGAAAGATTTTAAAGATTTTGAGGAGAGAGGAATGGCAGGCCAAATTCTGACTTTACTCATAGAAGCGGAAAATGTGGAATACCTTCTTTGCTTTCAGCACAGTCCAGCTGGCTTAGCCAATGCTGAACTCTGGTTCATATTATGTACTGGTATTCAACTGCCTGAATATGCAGTTCTTATCTCTGAGGTGTTCAGATAGCATTCTTTGTGGCACTCATTCACTGATAAAGCCTGATTAAAGTACTGCTCTGATTAAGTGAGTCCTTGTTCTGTTGGGTTTTTTTTGGGGGGGGGTGTGTTGTTTGTTTTTGTTTGTTTTTTTTCTCAAGTGGGAGTCTGGAGATGCTGGCACCTTGCTGTTGGCAGCAGTAGGGTCTCTTGCCACTTCCCTAGCTCCTGAGGAAAGGCAGGCGCTGCAGCCGGCCGGCCTGGGAGCAGGCACTGCCTGCTGAGGCAGCAGCTCTTGCCCAACTTACTGGTGGGCGTTTCGGGGGAGTGGGGCTGATGCTGGGGATGGATTGGCTGCTTTGCGCCGGCTTTCCTGGGAGCAGGCAACAAGACAAATAACCCCGAGGAACCCTGGCAAGCTCCATCTTCAGCGCTAGCAGTGATTCGTTCCCCCTTGATTTTTCCCAGAAACTGGCTGCTTCTGTGTTCCTAGCCAGGAACAGAGCCTGCATTAACTTAGCCCGCCACTGCATATTTACAGCCCACTTTCTGGGGAGCAGAAGGAAGAAGCTGTTCTAGAAACTTAGAGGGAAGACTGTAGGACCCATCACGGCTTTTGGGAGAGACCTCTAAGGTGTAGGGTGGTGGAGGGGATGTGCATCTCCAGGCCACTTTTCACTCTCAAGCAGAAATCTCAAAGGGTGCAGAGGGTTTTGCATAGCTCTAGCTTTTCCCAGCCATAATGAGTCTGGTCAGCTTGGTCCATGTCCCACTAACCCTGTACCCCCTCTATTCAGGGAGCTGATTATGGCTTGAATTTACCTGTCACCTCTGACTATTAAATGGGGAGGTGGGTTTGGAGAGGGCTTTTGTGAACAGCTCCAGCTCTTTCCAGAAATTCATAGATATTTGAGCATGGCCAGAATGCAAAGGTGAGTCCTCCAAGTACAGCAGTCCTGGTCTCTGTGCCACAGTTCTGTGAGCTGACATTAGCAGCCCTTCCCTTCATCCTGGGGAGAGAATGGGCAGCTAAAATGCATCCAAGATTTGTGAAGAATGTGAGTACTTTTCTGGGAGGAAGGTAAAGAGACAACTCAGCCTTGCAGACAGGGGAAGATGGAAATCAGATGGTGGGATTGGTTCCTTCTCCCTCCATCTGTCCCAGTTCTCCCGCAGAAGTTGCTGTATGACTCACAAGCTCTTATTTTCAGCCTTTAAGCTGACGTTGGGAGGATTATATGTTAATGTGCTAAAGTGGCAGCTGCTGTGCCCCATGGAGGAGTCCCTTGCAGGGCACTGGGCCTCTGTTTGATGGCAGAAAGGGTCTGCTTGGGCACAACCATTCCCCCTTAAGGTCTCCTTTATGTGTAAATCAGAGCTCCTCAGTGCTTGAACTTGTAGGATGCTTTAAGGGGGTGCCCGTGGGGAGACAGTCCTTGCTCTGTATGAGTAGCCCATAGTGAATTGTGTGATGTGTAAGGCAATCCCAATCCATTTAGCCTAGCTGGCGGGAGCCAAAGGCCTAGATCAGGCTGGGGAAGTGCCCTTTGCTGTTGACGACATTTGGAGGGAAGCTGCAGTTCAGCTGGAGTAGTGTGGCAGCCTTCCCTGGCCTCTGCTAATAACACGTCCCACGTGCACCAGTGCTGCGTTGGGGATGACTCAATCCTCCCGTTATGTAGGTTGCTGGTGGTATATAAAGGCTCAGTGAGAAAAGGGATGCTTGCAAGTTCAGTTGGCAAACATCTGGTTTTGCCTCTACTTGATTTTGTTCTTTGTAGTGCTTCTGTACTTCTTTTCAAAATATTTTGTATTTTTTAATGATTGCAACTTTTGCATTTTGTTTGTCTGCCATTGCTTCTGGTACATGCAGTGTTGCCTATAGGCTGAGGTTAGCTTTAATTAGGGACATAGTCATTGGCATAGCTAGAATTGAAGAGCTATGAGATTTTGTGAAAAGGTAGAAAGCACTGTGGAAAGCATCCAGCCAGCAGCTGAAGTATCTAGTTTCTCCTCCTCCAGTGAATTGAAACTGCTGTGGATTATTGAGGACAGGGATTATCCCTTCTCTGCTAAGCAGCTTTACTGAAAACATCAAAGATGGAGGAGAAAACCCAGGTTCATCTCTATTGTGTGTTTTTACCCTCTACTTTATTTGCAATTGAAGGAGAAATTGCTGTGAAAGCCTCTCGGTTCCTGGAGGAAGTCAGCATGTGGGAGCATACTTCTTCCTTACCTTCTTTATTTGATGGTTTGGACTTTGTTTTCTTTATTTCAGTGAACCCTTTGCACTGGTGTTAGACTAGTGGGTTTATTCTTTTTTCTTTCTCTGTTTTTCCAAGGAAGTGGTTATTTATGCTGAGTGTCAGTAATGTACAGGCATTTTACTTTGTAGCCATTAGGAGTGGACTTGAAGTTTTCCTCAACTTGGCATTCAAGGAAATGCTTCATGAGTAACCACTTCCACTTAAAAATCAGGCTGTGTGGATTTGCATCGTAGATCCTGATATGACTGGCATTAAAAAGTGGAGGTAGAGCATGAAGATCATCTCTGTGTGGCTTCTCGTCACATGCTAGAGTCAAGGCGGGGGGACATGGTTTGCAAAGGCTGTCTGTTTTTCTGATGCCATTTTCCATGTAACAGAGATGTGTCCTCTGAGCAGAAGATGTGGAGTCAAGGATTCCTATGTCCTGGTCTCAGCTGTATTGATCCAAAAGTCCCAGTTGTGACTTTGCTTTGTCATCTGATGAAAGTCCCTCTAAACCTGTGTCTTTCCATGTCTAATTTAGGAGTTTTTTAATAATTTTTGGAGGGAGGGGAGTCCATCCTGAGGAACAGAGGATTGAGTTGCCTTTCTTTAGGTGTGTTGAGCCCTGATAGCTCCTGTCAAATTGTGTTCAGACTGAAAACCTCACCAGGTCTTTGGAGCCTAGTGGGTGTGCAGGCTTCTCTGCTTCTCTTTTGAAAACAGAGCTTTGGGACAAGTTGTTTAAATCTCTACAGCAAGCATAAATGCAAAAGGTATACCCTAGTATTTGTGTTTTTCTTTGCAAAGGTGTTCATAGGCCATTAGCAAGTCTCAAGTGAAGCTCCTCTGGAGGACTTGAAGCTCAGTGTGCTTCAGGGCAGGCAAGGAGAGCTTTCAGTCATCCACTGGAGGATTTTTTGAGCCATAAGATTTAAAGGGAGGAGAATATTCTGCAGCATGAATCTAATGGTGCAAAATCTAGTATGCTCAGAAGGGACTGGCCCTCCCCTCATCCCATTTCCCCCAGGGTAGCTTGAAAGCTGCCTCGCAGCCACTGTGCTGCACTAAAGCCAGTGTCCATGGCCCCCAGCAGCTGGCCAGGCCATGCAGACCGTTCATTGTGGCAGGCACAATGTGGGGATTTGCTGTTTGTTGCTCCTGACAAAGGGGCACTCCAGCGGGTGGTGGGGGAGCCAAGGCTTGTTTACATCCCAGGTCTCCCAGCAAGCCTTGCCACAGTGGTGCTCAGAGGGGAATTTCTGCACCCTGTGGCTTGTGGGGGACAAAAAGCCACTTCAACAGTGGCTGTTCTGAGGGTGACACCCAGTGGTGATATACGAGAGAAGGCACAAGGGTTGGTCTAGGGCTGGCTGACTTGTGTGTGGATGAGCCAGTTGACTTCAACCAGCCTCCAGGCCTTTCAGGTTCTGCCTTTTCTGGGCTGCCTGGTAAGCAAGCTGCTCTGCTTTTGGTCGTGGTGGGGCAGGGACGCTAGTGAGAATGAGGGGCAGGGGGCTTTTGCTTCTCAGCATCACAAAATATATTTGCAAAGAGGTTGGGACTGGTTATTAATCCAACTTGTACTTTCTTGAAGGTCTGATCTGCATCCTTCTGGATTCATAGGAATACATCCTTGGATGAGAGAAGAGGATGCATGTATGCAGGGTGGGAGGTAGTAGTGAAGCTAAAGAAATTGCAAAAACCTATTGGAAGTGGAGTAGGAACACATCAGGGGATGTATTGAAAGCCCAATGTGTTGAGAGACAGAAATCCTATTAATTTCCATTGGTGTTACGTGTTTCTAAGCCCCTTTGGTGGCTTGGGAGCTCTCCTTTGTCAGTCCTTGGTTTTGAGCAGGAGTTACAACACGTTCCTGAAGTATCCAGTTAACGATTCCTTTATTCTCATTCTCCAATGGCCTTTTCCTCTTTTCCTTGCCCAGGGGCTGCAGTGAACCTGACTCTAGTGACACCAGAAAAGGCTATCAAACTGGCAGCCAATGACTTCTTCCGGCATCACCTCTCCAAAGATGGGTGAGTAGGAGGTGCAGACCTTTTGTCTTCAACTTAAAAGACAGCAGCCCTTGGGACAAGTCTGGTGAGATGTCAGTGCAAAGGTAGAACAGGGTGATGTGATGACTGAAATATGAGTTGACCTTGAACAGCTTGGCCGGTGATTACATTTGGGCTAAGGATGTAATGTCTATAATGGGAAGTGAAAAGCACTCCACTGGATGACTTCTTTTTATTCAAGCTTCTAAAAATAGTCCCAGATCTAAGCCAAGGTTAGCAGATCCAGAATTTGTAGGCAAAATACTTGAGAGGAACCAATGGCACTGATCACTGTGCTTAAACAGCTGCTGGGGGGTCGCTTGTCTTTGGCATCCTATTGGATGCTGTTAAGGTCTTTCTGGCTTGAATGGATGGCAAGTCAACTTCTGTAGACCCCAAACTTAGCATTCCTCTTGTCCTTTTGTAGCCTGAAAATAGTTTTAGAGAGGTGGTGAGTCTGAATTGACAGGGAGTACTTGCAACGTAGTCCAGCAGCTGACCTGCAAATAAATGCTGAATGAATAAAATTGTCTCTTTAGTTTGCAAGTGGGGGTTGGTTCATGTGAATTAAATGTGAGTAAAAGATGCTAGCTGAGTCACTGAGAGGGGCTGGACCCTGAATGTTTAAAGATGTTTCCCTTGCCATTTGGAGAACCCTTGTGTCTCCCTTCAGACCAAGACCTTTCTCCAGAGGCAGCCAGTGAAGGTCACTGTCTCCAGTCCTCAGTGACAGTAGGTAGAAAATAGCCTGCTTGGGATATTACCCTGGCTTTTCCCTTCAGCAGTGATGTGGTGGTGCCTCACTGAAAATGCAAAGCTCTGCCATGATTACTTGGTTTAACAACTTCCTATAACGTACCATGTCAGTCTTGACTGCTGCAGATCAGTGGCTCAACAACTTCAGTGGAGATTGTGGACTGACACAGGTTGAGGATCTTTTTTTTTTTTTTATGTACTTCATATTTTTGTTCTAGAGTGTTTTAAAGTAGCAGCTACCATACGTCTGTGTGACTCATCGGCTTGCAGCTGTTTGTGATTTTTGGTCTCTTCAAATAGTGTCTCTTTTCTGTGCTCTGCTCAGACAGTGGGAGGTAATGATGTCCTCGTTGCTCCTCGCTTCTACCAAGTGGTGGGTCTGATCCTGGGGCAGACACCACGGCAGGCCCTGGCGTACTGCAGCAGACAGGAGGAGCACAGCTGGCTCTTTGCCACTGCCTGTGAAGTGGGGGCTTAGTAGGTTGTACGGGGACGATGAAAGGGTGTCAAGCTGCCATGCCTTGTACCACCACTGAGAGACTGGCCTGTGGAAGAAATCAGACAGCATTGCAACATATTTGGTGTTCTCTGACAGCAATCACTGCTGTGATGTTTCAGCCGTTAGAACGGTACATGCCTGTCAGTAGATGTCCTGCACCATGAGAGGTAAAGGATTCCTCAGGGACAAATGTGCGTGTCTGCCTCTCAGTGCTGTGGCAGGCTTCGAGTAGGTGTTTGGGTAAGTGGGATGCAGCCGTTTCCATGAGCAGCTGAGGTCTTCACCCAGACCTTTGCCAGTTTGATTTCTGGGCTCCCGCTGATCCACACGTGAGATGGATGATGTGCAGTGCTTGGTTAAGAGCTTGAGAGTTTTGCCAAGAATAAGACACCCTGTTCTCCTAGAACACATACACTGATGGGCCTGGCAGTACAGTGACCTGGAGCAGGAGAGTAATACCACTCAGGTAGTGGGGAGCCTTTGTGTCTTGACCTGAAGCATTTTTAATTTAGAGAAAGGAGAGGTTGGGCCACAGTTAGGTGACAAGAGCTAGGCAGCATGTGGAGTCAGGGTCACTCATCTCATATCCAACCATCATGGGGGGCTTGAGTGAATGATATCTGGTAAGCTCTGCTCGTGACAATAGCCAGCGTGAGCTGGACAGAGGGGCAGAGCCTTGATAGTGCTATGATAGATGGTTTAAGGTGTTTGTAACTAGAAACGTCACTCCAAGATGTGGTGGGAAAGAAGATGCCTTGCAAGTTGGCTGTGACTGGTATAGGCTATGAACCTGGGATCTAGCTGGAAGGTCTGGTGCATGCTGTGACCTTGCTTAGGACATGGGAGTGGGATGTGATGGAAAAGGCCAGGACATTACCAGGAAGGATAAGGACCCTTAGAAATTGCAGGGCAGCTGCTACTGTGGAATTCTTTTCCTCCATGCTAGGGACATCCCAGCCTGGGGATGGGGTTGTGACTGGCCGTGCTGCAGTCGTTGCATGCTGCCTTGCCTTTGGCAGTTCACAGGAGCTTTTCCCATGTGTAGCATGTGTGGCAAATAGGAGTGATGGCGAGGGGCTGTTTCATTGAGTCACGAACCCCTCGAGGGTTTGCCTTGTTCTTGCTCCCTCTTTCCAAGCTGTTTGCAGTCTGCAGGTTTTCTCCCTTGAGTTATGTCTGTCCCCTCCTCCCCAGTTGTCTTTGTAAGACAGGGCAGGATTAGCAGTGCTGGAATCCAAATGCCTCTCCTACCCAGGGAAAAACAGGGTACATACCTGCTAGCACAGTGCAAGGCTGGGCCACCTATTTCACAACTCCAGTCAAAGCCTAGGTATAAACAACAAAACAGCCCAGGGTTAGAAAGGTGAAGACTCAACCTGACTGACGTGTCAATGTTGTTTCATTTCTGGTTATGTAATTGCAGCAGTCAAGATGTTACATGGTGTAAAGTGCAGCTGAGGGAGTTAGGCTCAGGTTAAGGCAGGGGTCTGTTTTTGCATGGTGAGCCACCAAGATTCAGCTCCACCAAAATCCTTTATGCACAAGCCAGACTTCCTGCTATGCAGTCATAGCACACTGTGCTCTTAGGCCAGCATCCCAGAAAGTAGTCTGGTGCTTTTCTGACTCAGAGCTGCCCAAGTCTTGTAGACCTTTTTGACATTGAATGCCTTTGTTGTGAAGCTTCTAGCACTTTCTCTTGCTTGAAATGTGTTGCATGAAATATGTTGTCTGATAAAATGTTCATGTTCTGTCAGAATTTGCTGATTAAAATATGCTGTGTCCTCCGTGTGCAAGTGGAAGAAACATGTGTGGACCAGAGACAGCGTGCCAAATCCATCATAACCCCCAAAATACCCTCAAGTTACACAACAGCTTTTTGTGTGCGTTATTTTTTTTTTTTTATCCTTTGAAAAACTTAGTGTTGAAATGATCTTCCTTTTAAACTGCTAGGGAAAAAAAGTGGCATAAAGCCTGTTTTTGAAAGGCCAGACTGAAAACACCACCTGTAGTGTAGGAAGCTCCTGGCTGCAAATTGCTGGAAGAGTATTTTGGGGATGTATCACTGCGGATTTGTGCTAGACTCCCTTTTCCCTGGCTGTGCTCTTGGATGCTGCTGGAGGTAGAGTAGTGGGGCAGCAGGACCTCACGCAGGACCTCGTGCCCTTGTGGGTGCACCTATCTCCCTGAGTCTGGAGATGTCTGTCCCTGGGGGCGCTCCTGCCAGTATGATGATGCTTCCCCTCTCCTTTTGGTGCAGGAAGGATGTGTGCTCACAGACTAGAGGATTTGATTTCTGCTCCTTTGCCTGTTTCTGTTTTGACATCGAGACCATTGTGACAGCCTACTGCTACAGCTTCTTGTTTCATGAGGAAACAAAACTACTAAGCTGGTTATTTAGGAACAAGGGAGGCCTGGGTGAGTTGTGTGAGTGCTGGAAACCCCCTTGCTATGCCATGGAGGAAAGGAGGAAGACCAAGGTACTGAAAAACCCTGAAGGGCACCCTGTGACCCTGCTTGAGAAAGGCAGTAAGGATCAAACATTGTCCTGTTTTGGCCCGTGGGCCTCTGCAGTTCCCAGGACAAGTAGAAGAGGTGACCCACAGAAAAGTGTTCAGGCAGGTCCTTGTTCCTGTGGCACTCTCTGCTGCATGGACCATATGGCTGGGGAAGACAGCACACGAGAGAAAGGAAAAACTTCCAACCTTCAGGTTGCTGGAAACTGGGATTTTTTTTTTTTTCTCCCCCTCTGGATTTCTGAAGCTGGGTGTCTTGAGAGACCCATAATCTCACAGTTGCTGTTAAAATACCAGCAGCTTCATTGTCCAGAGCAGAGGATGTGAGGAGTCACTAGGGCTAAGTGAAGCACCTAAGTGTGAAGCACTTGGGCATGAGGCTAAAAGTAAGTGATTTAAATCAGTAGTACAGCAGCGTGCATTTAAAGTACACTGTTGATTTTTGGGTGCTCAGTGTGTGAGGCCTCTTTGATAGATGTAAGTATTGCCTTTAAGTTCTCTTGGAATTTGGGTGTTAAGCACTTCATAAAACCCAGTCCCTTTAAAGTGTCCTACAAGGTTTCATGTTTATCTCTAAAGCATTGAGTGCCAAGAAGCTGTTGTGTTTGGCATGTGTTTGCCAGGTTCTGTTGTTTGTTTTTCAGGTTCTTGGTTAAATATTACTCTGCCATGGCTGTGGTAAAAAGTGTCTCGTGGCTTTTTATAAGAGTAATTTCTTGCTCATAAAAACTCTCTGGTGTCCCTGGAGGAGTTTCCTGCTATTCTTCAAGGTGTGTTATTCCCTTACACCTCCTGTCCTCTTTAATCTTGACCTTCATTTTGTTTGCTGTTCTGGAGCAAAGGCTGGCAATCTGCTGACTTAGCAGCTTGGATTCCTAGGAAGACCAGCACGTTTGCGTTAATTGTTGTTTTGCTGATTCCAGCAAATGTTCTTCCTTTCTTTTTCCCCCTGCCTTGTAGCTTTGCTCGGAGAAGAGAAGAGAAATAGCCAACTGTAATCCTGAGACAGGCAAGGCACTCTTCCTTCTCTCCCATGCAGATGGGGAGACTAGAGCTTGTTCTCCATTGCCTTCCTAGCTGATGTCTCCCCAGGGCTCCTTCCTTCATCTGCTCCTCTTTCAGGCTCTCCTAAAATACTCAGACTGTCTCTTCTGTGGCATCTGTTTACATAGCCATTGAGTAGCCTGGCTGATCCTTGAGCTGCAGAATACTCATAGACAAGCTGTAAAGTTAGGCTCTTGATTCAGGAAGGAGGGATGCTGCTGCCAGTCCTGGTGCTTGAGCTCTCTGTCACCTTGCACACAGCTTTGGTCTTTCTCCAGGCTGGGCCAAGGCAGCCTCTCCTGTAGTTATCCACTGGATGTCCAGCCACTTCCTTAATGCAGATAACCCTCATCCAACCCACTGGGACTTGTAGGTGTGGAAATCTAGCCCTTCCCCTAGAGAAAGAGCCAGTTAAGATCCGATAAATCTCACTGGGCCTATTCAGGGATAGGTATTGCAGGGTGGGTGGGGAGGTGTCTCTTATTTAGCACAGAGAGGCTCAGGGAATTACAGTGGTTTGAAGCTGTAGACATCAAAGGTCAGGAGAAAGTAAATGCACTTTCAGCTGTTAATCTAGAAAGAGCTAGAGACAGGCTGTTTAGCCACAGAATACACCCATGAGAGGAGCATTGCACTTGTCTCCATTCCAAGCACATGCTTTGGGACAAAACGCAGGTTGTGTCCGTGTTCAGCATGCCCAGACGTGTTGCCTTGTTCATTGTTCAGTTTCACAGACATTCATATTGGAACAAACCACTTGGGATCTCCTGCTAGGGCAGACCTGCTGTAATGGGTGCAGGCACAGTCACCTTCCTCTTGACTTAGTCCAAACACGCAACACAGAGGTAGGTTGTGCCATACCTGGAGTAACGTCTGCCAGAGCAACATTTAATCTAGTGGCGTTACTTTGAGGTGGATCTATCCTGTCCCAGTGCTTTGTTTTGCTTGTATGAGGCATTTTTCAGCTGGCACTAGAAGCAAGAAGGGAAGTTGTAATGGAAACTTTCTTGCTTTTACGTTTCCCAGCATCATAGCTCCAGCTTTTCTGAAGTGCGGTTGCAATAGCTGCTTGTTCCCCCTTGGAAAATCAAGGGTTGGGTTAAAGGGACTGACAGGCAGTTTGTGTGCACATTCCCATGTGGCTGTGGCAGACAGGTTGCCCTCCTTCTGAAGGACAAACCCTGTGTGTTGGTCTCCTCATCCATATCAATGACCCACTATTTAAATTGTTTGAAAGCAACTGGCTCTTTTGGTTTGAAACTCTTGAGGAGCTTTCTACAATCTATTGGGTTGACAGACCAGAGGCAGTTTTATGAGTGAGGAAGATGATGTCCAAGCTGGGGACAGTAGCCTCTTGAGTAGCAAATAGAATCTGTCATGGTTTGAGCCCCAGAGGGCAACTGAGCACCACACAGCCGTTCACTCATCCATTCCCCTCAGTGCTGGGAAGGAGAATCCAGAGGTTTAGGAATGGAGGTAAGGACAGAGAGAAGTTACCCATTTAACAGTCACAGGCAAAAGACAGGCTTGTTAGAGGAAGAAAAAGGATATCACTTTAATTCAAAACACTAACGATAATGACACTTAACAGACAGAATGGGACAGTGAGAAGCATTACCATATCTGAAAAATGCCTCCCCCCACCCCTTCCTTCTTCCAGGGCTCATTTTTTTCCCAATATTTCTGCTTCCTCCCCTCCAGCAGTGCAGGGGCAGGGGATGGCGGTGCAGTCAGTCTGCTGCTTCTTCCTGCAAGGGAGGGGGGCAGCACTCCTCTGCATTCTTTCCCTGCTCCATGTGTGTCCCTCTCACAGGAGACAGTCCCCCACAAACTCTCTCCTTCGTGACTCCTCCCAACGGGGTACATTCTGCTTGAGATGCTCCGGCGTGGGTCACCTCCATGTGTTGCAGTCCTCCCAGTGCCAAACTACAACTGCGGGGGCTGCTTCTCCCCACAGAGTCCCAGGGGTCCCCCACAGGCTGCAGGTGAGTCTCTGCTCCCCTGGTGACCTCCATGGGTGTCAGAGGGGTGCCCCTGCCATCTAGCCACAGGATATGGGGGGTACCTCCTCCCACTGCTGCCTCCTTCCTTCCACTGACCTCAGTGTTTGCTTAAGTGTCCTTGTAACTCATCCTCAAAGTTCCCCAACCCCCTCTCAGGTTCCCCTTCTTAAATACGTTGTTGCAGAGACACAGCCACCATCACTAATTGCCTCGACCTTGGCCAGAGGTGGGTCTGACCTGGAGCTGGGGGAGCTTCGAGCTTCTCACAGGGGCCACTGCTGTAGCCCCCTCCCCTGCTACCAAAAACCCCAGCACATGAGATATGGCTTTGTATGGATGTTTCCTTAGGTCAAAGACGACTTGTCTTTGGTTCCCTGCCCAAGCACAGTCAACTCCTACACAGTCAAGGTTTTTAAGAAACTTGAAAAAAATCCTACTCTGCTCCCATGTGACATCAATATACCAGTGCTTTCCGAGATCCTAAATTTGGACTGATGTGTTGCTCTTGAAAAGCCCTCCATAAACCACTAGTTCCTGCTTTTTTACTTTCTTTCAGCTCTAGTTTGAAACTCTGATTTAGATCAAGCATGAATCTTCTCCCTTTCCCATTTGACATTGTTGATTTGTCACTAATTAATTGCATTTCAGTTGAAAAAGTGAAATGACTGGTTTCTGCCAGTGCAGAATTTGGGGCTATTGTGTATATGTTATATTTAACACCCTCTTGCTGTGATAAAAGATGGATCCTTGCTGGTGTTGCAGCTTTTGAAGTTAGCTGAGATGTGCTGGGTTTTAAACCACTGGGGATAAGGCTTGTGGTGCCTTAAATATTTAAACCCCTTTGTCATCTAGAGATGAACCATTTTCCAACTCCTTTTATGTGCAGACTGGTGAGGCTTCTGCAGAGGAAGTTTGAGCCCTGTATGGCAAATTTTAAACCTCCTAACAAAAGATTTGCTTCTCTTAGGCTGCTTTTTTTCTTGGACTCCTCCCAGTTCCAAGGATATACAAACCGAAAGCTGAAAGCCCTTGTTCTAGATGCTTTTGATGTACCTGTTTGACATCTCTGAAATACACCTGTGCACATAAACCCTTCATGGGGTCATACTGGCAGAGCTCCATGGAGTTTAATTGGCTTTTGTTGGCTGGAATAATGGTCTACAGATGAACACACAGGGCACATATTCCTGATCTCTTGAACTGGGTATCAAAACGGTCACCCTGCATGAAAGCCAGGAGACGTGGACTCCAAGGATGCTCCAGGGCTCTTGCTGAAGTGAGGGATGCTCTGCTGTGCCGTAGAGGGAGACTGGCAGGTGATTTGATTCCTCCTGGGGAGGGCTGGGGGCTGTGGAGACTGGTGCTATGCTTCAGGCTGCCCAAGGGGCACAAGTTGGGCACCTCCAGGTGTCAGGAGGGACCTCTGGATTGGCACCCCCTGATCCCTGTATGCCTTCAGGAATCTTGCTGCGCACACTTCGACACCTGTGTGGGTAACTCCATGGGAGGGATTGTTTTTTGCAGCTTCTCATCTATGAATTTGGAATTTGGAAAGGGGAGACCGTGAAATGTTCCTCCCTTCAGCCTCGCAGGAGATTTCTATATTTAGTCGCTGGTAATCTCTGCTGTGGCTCTGTGCCTCTAATCCCCTGCTCTGATATCCTCCCTGGAGAAGATGGGAGGTGGAGCAATCAGCCCAGCTGACGTGGTGGGCCAGCAGGGTTACGGTGCATCTCCCCTCCCTTTCCTATAGGGTTGGCATCGAAACTTCTTTGCCAGCCCACAGTGCCACAGCTGTGCTGTGTGTGTATGTGTGTGTGTAAACCCTCAGCAAGGGAGTATGGCTTGGTTTTGCAAGGGAATAGGGCGTATCATTGTGTGACTGCTTTTGCTGTAGTATGGAGATTCACACTGAATAGGTTAAGATGAAGTATTGCTGCAGGAGCAGGGCTGGGGGGAGTAAAAATAGTACTTGCATTTAAAATGGGAAAAAGAGGAATCTGTTTCCCTCTGGCTGTGGGATTTTTATATATATATTTTTTCCCTTTTAGAAAGAGAGCAGATCAGAGGCACTTCTTTTTTTAATCAAGTCAGTGTTTTCTGGTGCCAAGTGGTAAGATATTTTTTTTTACAGGGTGAAAACTCATCAGTTTCTGAAATGTGAGGCTTTCTGAGCATTTGCATCATGAGTTCCTCTTGTTAGTCTTAGCTGGGCTGTTTCGTGGCTTTGGGATGGAGGGAGTTACATAACGCTGCATTTTGTTAGGCAGAAACATGTCGCAGGTAATCCCTGCTCCCTAGCGCAGAGGGTGCGCAGAGCTGGAGTGCTAGAGGTCTATCCTGTCCCTTGTCCCTTGGGCAGGACCAGTTTAGTGTGAAGGCTACTTTTTCAGGTTTGGAAAGGCTGGTGAGGTGAAGAGACTCCCTAATCTCAGGGGAACTGCCTCCCTGATTCTCATGTTCACTGTTTGTTTTGCTTTTGTTGGAGAACTCCAAAGCAGCAACTGGAATACTTTCCCTCTTTGCTTTCCCTGTGGTCTCTGTTTGTTTGTGTGTGGGGATGATAATGTTGTTTAAAGGACTATGCTGGCAGAAGGAAAGCTGCTTATCCCCATTAATGCTCAGGTCCTCCGCTGCCCTCTGGGGCAATACCCTTTCTGAAGGCTATGCCCTGACTGGGGGCAATGCCAGGCTGGAAGAGGACTGCAACTCTCTGTCTGGGGATGGAGAGCATTGTGTGCTCCCGTCTGAGGCAGTTCTGCCTGGGCTTGTGGCATTTTCTGAATGTTCTATTTCTGGGGCCAAAACGGGTCTCTTCTCCAGTTCAGGTGATGCTGGCAGAGATACTAGGCCTGGGCTATGCTGAACTGTCAAGCCTAGCAGGTTCTCCCGCCCCCCAGGCTGCCTCTTCTGTAATCCCCAGGGTCAGAGGGGTGCCTAAGCCCCTGCACCCAGCTGCCCCAGACAGGCCACCTCCTCTGAATGACTTTTTTTCCTCTCTTTTCTTTGGGCAGGAAAAAGCTGACGCTGCTGAGGGAGATGCTGGCAGGCTGCGGTGCGGGTACCTGCCAGGTGATTGTCACCACTCCCATGGAGATGCTCAAAATCCAGCTGCAGGATGCAGGGCGAATTGGTACGTGGGCTTCCCTTCCCTGTGTGCTGAGCCAGCGGGCGGCGGGGGGGGCTGGGACTGAGCTGTCAAGGCAGCAAGGGAGGGAATGAGCAGAGAAAACCCTTTTCTTTCTCCCTGCTCTCCCAAGGCAGAGGTATCTCAGGCTGTAGCAGAAGTTTCTCATCTTCCCAGCTCATTTCTGCCCACACTTTGCTCACTTGGCTTAGCAGAGGTTGCAGTTACAAAGGGTGATGGGTTATTTTTGCTCAAAGCAATAGGCTTGGCAAGTGAAACAGCAAATGCTGCTGGTAGAGACAGACAGGAGATGACTGGGTGGTTAGCTTGTGAGTGTTTAAAACTTGTTAGTTACTGTGAACCCAGGAAGGGATTAACATCCTCCAGTGCTTTTCCTGTGGTGCTTCCTCCATCTCCATGTTTTCTGGTGTCTGTTCTCTCTCTTCTGCCCCTCTGTAGCACCTCCCTAACAGCTTCCCAAGGGATACATCCTTTCCAAATGACTTGTCTTCCCTCTCTCTCTCTCTCCCCCCTGACAAAAGCAGCAGCTGTCTCTATTGAGAGTAAATAAAATTTTCCCAGTACACTGACTTTGGAAGAGGTTTAGGATCAGGCTCTTGAGGCTGTGGGCAGGAGCTGGCAGGCAGAGGCAGGAGGGAGTGAGCCTTTTGGCTGAAACACTGTGGGGTATTCCTGGTGAGAAGGGAGACCAGAGTCTGCCATGGAGACTCTGGGGGGAAAGGCTGTTTGCTATTGCCTTAATCTCTTCCAGAGATCAGCCCAGGTTATGACCTCATTCCCCAGGAGCTCTGCATGACACTTAGATACCACGTTTATGGCTCCTGGAAAATGGGCCAATTTGCCCTTTAATCTCTCCTTTGACTTGGCATTCTTGAATAATCATGGATTTACTTTTTCTTTCCTGTCTTTGCTGGTTTTAATGCAGACCTTATCCTCTTTGTGCGTATTATTTTAAAATGTTTTGAGGGAATTAATCCATGGTTTGAGGGTTCAGAAGAGGTTTTCACTGCTGTAAACAGATTGTTCTCTGTGGTGTGCTGGTGGCAGCCAAAGGCTTGCCTACGGGTTGATGTGCTCTCCATCTTCTGGCCAAAGAGCAGAAATGCAGCAGTTTGGAAAGGCTGGGAGAAAACACAAATGTGGCTGAGGAGCTCCCCAGGTTAATGATTGCTTTCAGGGGAAGGATGCAAAGAACAGAACTTTTGAACCTCTCTTGTTTATGAGTATTGTTAGTTTGTTCTGCCAGGGGCTCGGGGGCATAGCTGGAAGCTACGTACTGACAGCTGCCTGCTCACAGCATCTCCTTTTCTCCGCGCTGTGGAGGTCGTGTGTGACAGGCTGCTTCTGCTTAGGTAAAACCTAGTCGGCAGGAGAGTGCAGCAGACAGCGTTGTGCTGTGGCACAGCCAGCTCCGGCACTGGGACACGCTGAGACCTCTCATGCTGAGGGAGATGCCAGACTGGGAGCAAAAGCTTGCAGGGCACCCGGCTGGCCTTGGGCTGCGTGGTTTGGTGCATGTGGAGATCTGCCTCTTCCTCCTTGTCCCGTGGCACCGGGCAGCGAGAGACTGCTGTTGAGCCTCTTGCAGACCAGTGCTCTCTCTGCTCCTCGCCAGCGGCGCAGAAGAAGCTGATGGCAGCACAGGCCCAGCTCTCCTCTTCCTCTGGGGCGGGGGCGGCCGAGCCGGCGGTGGAAAGGCGCCCCACAGCAACACAGATAACGAGGGAGCTGCTGCGGAGCAAAGGCATCGCGGGACTCTACAAGGGCCTGGGAGCCACGCTGCTAAGGTAGGATGGTGGAAGACAGGGCACCAGTGTTCCCAGTCCTGAAGCTAAAGCACCAGCCATCCAGGGGATAAACCTACAAAGTGGGTGTTGGCTTCAGGGGGTCTGGGTTTGATTTGTGTTGGTTTTCATGCACAGATTTTGAGGAAGGCTGCTTTTCTGTTCCTGGAAGATTTAATTCTGCTGCTTTCTGTGGAAGGGTTTTGTCTCCCTCATGGTCTATATTTTAGCACTGTAGAGAAGTCCTTGTGAGCTAGCAAAGCAAAGCTGTCAGTGTGAATCTCCAAAGTGTGACACGGGTTCTGGCCCTTGGAGTGTGTTGGATATAAGGACAGGTGCCTGCTCTGACACTTTACCTGGGCTTTCACAGAGTTACTCTCCTCTAGCTTTAACAAAGGCAGGGCTAAAGCAGCACCCAATGGGCTGGGGAGCAGGATATAAACAAAAGTGGACAAAACAATTGACCTCTGAATCACAAAATCAACTAGGTTGGAAAGGACCTTGAAGATCATCCAGTCCAACTGCTAACCCAGCACTGACCATTCCCAACTCCACCAGGTCCCTCAGTGCTGGGTCAACCCGGCTCTTCAACACCTCCAGGGATGGGGACTCCCCCCCCTGCCCTGGGCAGCCCATTCCAACGCCCAACAGCCCCTTCTGCACAGAAATCCTTCCTCAGAGCCAGCCTGACCCTGCCCTGGGCAGCTTGAGGCCATTCCCTCGGGGCCTGGCGCTGGCTCCTTGGCTCCAGAGACTCATCCCCCCTCTCTGCCCCCTCCTGGCAGGGAGTTGCAGAGGGCCAGGAGGTCTCCCCTCAGCCTCCTCTTCTCCAGACTAAACCCCCCCAGTTCCCTCAGCCACTCCCCAGCAGACCTGTGCTCCAGACCCTGCCCCAGCTCCGTTGCCCTTCTCTGGCCACGCTCGAGTCATTCAATGGCCTTTTTGGGGTGAGGGGCCCAAAACTGAACCCACCCATCGAGATGTGGCCTCACCTGTGCCGAGCCCAGGGCTCAGATCCCTTCCCTGTCCCTGCTGGCCACGCCAGTGCTGACACAAGCCAGGATGCC